ATCCTGCGGTTTCCAAGTGCAGAGGGAGGGCAAGTGCCCCTTTCATTCTGTCTTGCCAACACTCATGTTCCTAAAGAATAACGTGATACCTATTGCTACCATTTGATGATACCACAACAATTGTATTTTGACTAAAATAGCTGTGGTTCTGTGTTCACACACAACATCATGTTTAGCAGGGGGCTTATAAAGTTAACAGCTTTGAAGGGCATTGAATTTATTTGCGGACTAGAAGAGAACGGAATCTTGATCTACCGTATGTTTGTATGACAACCTTTTTTTTTTTTAATCAGGTCATACTAGTGATATGAATAGCAGGATCCCACTTAATACTCGCTGCAGTCTGCAAGTTGTTTCATGAACATTATGATTGCCAGGTCGCGGGATCGAATCCCGGTCGGGCGGCTGCATTTTCGCCTCCATCGAAAATGCTGCAGGCCCGTGTGCTCAGATTTGGCACTAGTTGAAAAACCCCAGATGGTCGATATTTCCGGAGCCCTCCACTACGGTGTCTCTCATAATCGTATGGTGGTTTTGAGACATTAAACCTCTCATATCAGTCAAGATTATGATTGCATTATATCGTGAGCAGTCTTGCTTATAGTTATAAATGCAACATGAATGGCCATTCTGATGTGTGGTGCCCCATGAGTTCTAACACACCAAGTGGTGGTCAGGTTATTGTTTATATGTCACTCCTAGACACCGTGATCAATTCTTTTCTCATTTATTTCTTATCAAGGATTTTCCCTCTGGCAGATTTGATGCTCTCAGGCAGTATACAATGATTTATTGGTCAGTTGTCAGCTCATAAAAATCAACTGCCATGTCATGCCAGCCCCGCCGCGGTGGTCTAGTGGCTAAGGTACTCAGCTGCTGACCCGCAGGTCACGGGATCAAATCCCGGCTGCGGTGGCTGCATTTCCGATGGAGAAGGAAATGTTGTAGGCCCGTGTTCTCAGATTTGAGTGCATGTTAAAGAACCCCAGGTGGTCGAAATTTCCGGAGCCCTCCACTACGACGTCTCTCATAATCATATGGTGGTTTTGGGACGTTAAACCCCACATATCAATCAATCAATGTCATGCCATCTGCCAAAACAAATGTTATTCATGTGCAACCATGGCTATGAGTGGCACTGGCAAACACTCTCTGGGTTATGCGTGCAAACGTGGTATTCTGTAAGTGTCCAGTAAATACGCTGTCCATTTCATCCTGTTGTGATTGGCTAATTTTGAAAGTGGGCTGGAATCAACTGTGAACTCTGACTTCGATCTCTATCCCAGTGGTTCTCAAATGGGGGTCCGCGAAGCCATTTCAATGACATGCGAAACCCTCACATGCTTTCTATTATTTTTTTTTAAGTCACACTTTAACTTTGTTTAAGCGTGGCTGTGCCACATATTGATGAACTGTCTAATATAAAGTGATGTAGCACCTTTGTTTGATGTTTTTGGTAGCAATAAAAGGCACCTGCTACACGCTCCAGTTATGTTAATTTACCTATGTGCCCCCCCCCCCTCCCTCCCCTTTGCAGCAAGGGGTCCCCCATCACTTCCACGAGTCCACAAGGGGTCCACAAATATTCATGGCTGAGAACCACTGCTCTATCTTATCGGTGCACACTGAAAAGGACAGTCCACTTCGTGGACACTTATAGAATACTACCCTGAAAATACCCGAGAAAGTGGAGCGGAGCATGGCCACCGCCATAGCTCAGTTGGCAGAGCTTCATATGTGTAATTTAAAGGTTGTGTGTTTTGTTTCCACTCCTGCAAGTTCTTTCATTCACTTCCATATTGCTTGATTTCACAATTGCTACACTTCAATTAAAGACTAAAAATAGTGATACCTATGCTTTTCTTGGGTTTATTATTAGTTGGCTTCTTGTGATTGTATCTAACAAAATATGAGCACCTCAATGTATTTCCCTGTCTTCTCTCGTTCAATCCAGAGAGCTTTTATTTTGAGCATTTAACACCTCTCCTTGTTTAAAGGAGTACTGCCATTATTTTGAATTCGAGATAAATTGTCAGATAGATTCATGCGAATGCACGCATCACCTATAAACCTTAACGAATCACCTATAAACTATCACCAACCAATATAGCCTAGAACCTATTTAAACTAAAATTCAAAATGTGTGCCATGCAAAAGCAGACCAAATGGAGTACCCTTGTGACATTGACTTCGATTCGGTTTCAGTTATAACAACCAATCAACACCTACATTGCATCGCTAGCTAGTGTTGGCTATCATGGCCTTCACTTGTGCTCTCTCCCACAGCTCTCAGTGTGGTAATCACAAGCAGGTTTGCCAAATGCGGCTTGCCTGGTAAGTGTGTTGCTGTTTTATGCATTTATATGGCCAGTTGTATTTGCAACAAAAAGGGAGAGATGTGTCCAGTCTCTCTCAGCACTCTCTGAAAGCAAAAGTGCAACTGGACGCTGCGAGACTGTCACGTTATAATTAAATGTTGTGCATTTGAAAGAACCAAGTTTTGTAGTCGTGATTAGTGGGTTATGATTGTAGTCATGATTAGTCAGATTGTGTTAGAAAAACTAGCCACCCTGTTTACAAGGTGTCTCCTGACGGGAAGAGTACCAGAGTCTTGGAAGGATGCTGACATCATCTTAATACATAAGAAAGGAGATGACAAGGACTTGAAGAATTACAGGCCGACCAGCTTGCTCTCTGTAGTATACACGATATTTACAATGGTAATTGCTAACAGAGTAAAGAAAACATTAGAATTCAATCAACCAAAGGAACAAGCAGGATTTCGAACAGGCTACTCAACAATCGACCACATTCATACTATCAATCAGGTAATAGAGAAATGCTCAGAATAGAACCAATCGCTACACATAGCCTTCATAGATTACGAGAAGGCGTTTGATTCAGTAGAAATATCAGCCGTCATGCAGACACTGCGGAATCAGGGCGTCGATGAAGTATATATAAACATCCTGGAAGAAATCTACAGGGATTCAACTGCTACCTTCATCATCATCATCATCATCAGCCTGACTACGTCCACTGCAGGACAAAGGCCTCTCCCATGTTCCGCCAGTTAATCCGGTCCTGTGTTTGCTGCTGCCAATTTATACCCGCAAACTTCTTAATCTCATCTGCCCACCTAACCTTCTGTCTCCCCCTAACTCGCTTGCCTCCTCTGGGAATCCAGTCAGTTACCCTTAATGACCAGCGGTTATCCTGTCTACGCGCTACATGCCCGGCCCATGTCCATTTTTTCTTCTTGATTTCAACTATGATATCCTTAACCCCCGTTTGTTCCCTAATCCACTCTGCTCTCTTTTTGTCTCTTAAGATTACATCTACCATTTTTCTTTCCATTGCTCGCTGCGTCGTCCTCAATTTAAGCTGAACCCTCTTTGTAAGTCTCCAGGTTTCTGCTCCGTAGCTTAGTACCAGCAAGATACAACTGTTATATACCTTCCTCTTAAGGGATAGTGGCAATCTACCTGTCATAATTTGAGAGTGCTTGCCAAATGTGCTCCACCCCATTCTTATTTTTCTAGTTACTTCAATTTCATGGTTCGGCTCCGCGGTTATGCCACCATTATGGTGGCAGTTGATCCCCTGTAGATTTCTTCCAGGATGTTTATATATACTTCATCGACGCCCTGATTCCGCAGTGTCTGCATGACGGCTGATATTTCTACTGAATCAAACGCCTTCTCGTAATCTATGAAGGCTATGTGTAGCGATTGGTTCTATTCTGAGCATTTCTCTATTACCTGATTGATAGTATGAATGTGGTCGATTGTTGAGTAGCCTGTTCGAAATCCTGCTTGTTCCTTTGGTTGATTGAATTCTAATGTTTTCTTTACTCTGTTAGCAATTACCTTTAGCTACCTTAGCACTTCATAAAGAAAGCAACAGAATACCAATCAAGAAGGGTGTAAGGCAGGGGGATACAATCTTCCCAATGCTATTTACCACGTGCTTACAGGAGGTTTTCAGAGGCGTAGAATCGGAACAGTTAGGGATAAGAGTTAATGGAGAGTACCTTAGTAACCTGCGCTTCGCCGATGACATTGCATTGCTGAGTAACTCGGGGGATGAATTGCAACTCGTGATTACGGAGTTAGACAAGGAGAGCAGAAAGGTAGGTCTTAAAATGAATCTGCAGAAAACGAAAGTAATGTACAACAACCTCGGAAAAGAGCAGCGCTTTCAGATAGGTAATAGTGCACTTGAAGTTGTAAAAGACTATGTCTACTTAGGGCAGGTAATAACCCCGGAGCCGAACCACTAGATTGAAGTAACTAGAAGAATAAGAATGGGGTTGAGTACATTTGGCAAGCACTCTCAAGTTATGACAGGTAGATTGCCACTATCCCTCAAGAGGAAGGTATATAACAGCTGTATCTTTCTGGTACTTAGTTACAGAGCAGAAACCTGGAGACTTACAAAGAGGGTTCAGCTTAAATTGAGGATGACGCAGCGAGCAATGGAAAGAAAAATGGTAGGTGTAACCTTAAGAGACAAGAAGAGAGCAGAGTGAATTAGGGAACAAACGGGAGTTAAGGATATCATAGTTGAAATCAAGAAGAGGAAATGGACATGGGCCGGGCATATAGCGCCTAGACAGAATAACCGCTGGTCATCAAGGGTAACTAACTGGATTCCCAGAGAAGGCAAGCGGGTTAGGGGGAGACAGAAGGTTACGTGGGAAGATGAGATTAAAAAGTTTGCGGGTAGAAATTGGCAGCAGCAAGCACAGGATTGTGTTAACTGGCGGAACATGGGAGAGGCCTTTGTCCTGCAGTGGACGGAATCAGGCTGATGACGATGATAATGATTATTAGTGGCTACTTAACCGCTTATTGCATTAGGAAATGGATGTAAAACCTTTGTGTCACAAAAAAAGCTTCTGTGAAAACAGCTTGTGCATAAACAAGTTCAAAATGAAAAGCTGTTCATAAAAAACTTATGCTTGACAGTCACCTTGTTTCATATTTTTGGTGATGCAGTTTGGCACTGGTGAAGAAACAGTGGAGGGCTCTCCCAGTAGTGTTGGCTTGACCTGGGTCAAACGTGGCTGCATGCAAGCATTCTCCAAGACTGTGTCCTGACATCAACCGAATTGACATGCTCGTTTTGCTGAACTGCTTGTTTACTGTTGATATTTCTCCTTTCTTTGAAAGGCAGTTATTCATTTTGAGGTCTTTGTTAGGAAAGTTGTGCGTACATGTGCAGTGATTCTTCATGTAGTTGAAGATTGGGGTAATCACAATGCCCTGGTTTATAATATTTGGAGTAAAACAGACAGCCAAAATAGTGGCAGAGCTATATTTTTACGTTTTAGATTGAATGATTTTTATTTTTTTGTGTGTGCTATGTGAATGTGAGAAAAGACTACCTGTGGTTAAAGTTTGTGCGCTTGACATGTGACCACAAATGGCACCGTGTTTGCTCTTTGTGCAAAAAAAAAAAAAGAAAAAGAAAGTAGCCATCAATGAAAGTAATTCTATTGGAAATCGTTCATTATTATAAGTTGCTTTTTTGATGAATTTTGCCTGGTATTAAAGTTATGCATAGAATTCATTAGTTTCTTAGAGTAAATATTGTGACATTTTATGTACTAAATGAATCATAAATTTGCATTGGTTGGGCCTATCACTATATTTCCAACATCTCATTGAAGACAAAGTGTGATTGCCACTTCATGTGTTTGTGCACATAGCTACATAATAAAACTTGTACTCTTCAGGCATGGTACACACATGCGAAAACTTATTCGACTTGAAGTATTATTACTAGAAAAAATTTTATGTAACACCTAAGCAGTTTGCCAAGACAAAAAAGGCATTGGTTGTGTAGATTCTATTAACTCATTGCCATAAAAGGCCTGACTTTAGAACAACATGAAAAAGTCTCATACAGATATGTTGTGATATTTTCATCCAGTTAATGCATAACACCACCATAATACCCAAATGTGTGATTATGAATAAGAAGCTGATGCCTTTCCTGCCATAGCTTGCAAAGTTTTTTGTATTGAGCAAGCGTGCATGTCAAATATACATGTACAGCCTGTTGCTAAAGTGTGAAGGCCAGTTTTCGTGTTGATTCAGTGCTTATAGTTTCCTGCACATTAAAAAAAAATAGCGAACCTGTTTTGGCATTAAGATGAAACATCAAGATGCCCATGAGTACAAGCAGAGCAGCTTGCATGGCAAGTGTGTTCGGATTCCCTTGCTTTGGGAGCAGCGATATTATTGTGCTTATAGAAGCTTCTTCTGCACATATGAACAAATAAATTGACTGAATCTTTTGACATGTGTAGACTAGTGTTAGTACATGTTAGTATTACACACAATTCTGTGTACATGTTACAGCAGTGAACAAAAAGATATATATACTATACCTTTCTTTCTAAGCTATTGGTTACTGTTTGAATAAGATAAATACAATTTTTTTTCAACTTTACACACTTAATAACATGCTATATAACCTATGGTATGTGGCTACATTGCTGATGTCTTAATTATCTTGATTGCAGTTGCATTTTCTGCTGGATTTTTTTTTTATAAGCAATGCAGATCATTGAAACAGGGTAAGCACTGCTACATCCAGGGAGACATGGAGATGAAAAAGATGCTGCTAATTGCTGATACCGCGTTGCTCTACTTTCTACAAATTTTTACATTTTGGCTGCACCTATGACTTTTGTTGCAAGTGCACATGCATGTTTTTCTTTTCTGTGACTAACTTTAGTTCTTTGTCAAACTTGCAGCAGCATATCAGGCAATTTTTTCTTTCGGTATTTTGCAACCTCTATCTCTCACTTTAGCATTACCACATTTTTGAACATACTGTACTTGGTTTTCTTGGGATATATTCTGCATCACATTATTTCTGTACAATGATTACAGTGCGAGTAATGCAACTATCAATGTTCAAGAGGCTGTTTTCTAAGGCTAGTTATCTAATATAATGTTGTCCCAACATTCCGAGTGTTTTAACTGAGAAGACTCTAATGGAAGAGATGTCATTTTGTTCGCTGCTGTAGGTTCATATGACATACTTTTTGAAGTTGAACCTGAATTGATGGTGCAAATGTTTAGAGAAAAGTAAAAAAGACACAAAAGACATGAAAAAGCGCGCACTTGCAACTAAATTTTATTCTTCAGAAAGCTTGGATTAAAAACCCTCAAGCATGTGCACCAAACCACAAAACGCAATTAATATTCTCTGAAAACACCACATGATCCAAACCTGTCATCTAAAAAACTGTACTGAGTTTGATTAAAATTAACAGAAAGAGCGCTGAAACAAAAGTCGCCAGCTTTCTGTATGTACAGCCAATTCCCGTGCCACCTTGTCTTTGATCTTCCATAAAAGGCATGCGTCGCCCAGAAGTGGTTTACACATGCAAGCCTTGCACGTGGAATGGGACTAGTATTATCATCCAGATCTCATTTGCCACATCACTGAATAATTTTCTGCATTAGTAATAACAGGGGGTTCCGACTCGACCCAGAACCCCGCAGGGAAGACGCGGAGCCAGAACAAGAACCGGGTTTATTCCGCTACGCCCCAGCCGCAACTGCCCGCTGCCAGCGGCTGCCGCGTGCCACCGAGTGCACCCGGGATTGGCATTGATGTGTTCAGGATTCTGTCCAGAGAACCGAAGCCAGCCATAGTCTCGAGGAGATGTCGAGGAGAGGAGCCCGGAGCTGTTAACAGTAACTTTTAATTACAATATTTACAGGTAGCGTGTTACATGATGGTGGTAGCATCATGGAAGCTCTCGAAGGAAGCATGATGGTAGCGTCTGCGAGCTTGTGAGAGCCTGTCAGGACCGCCTAGGCGCTCGCATTTTATGTCCTGGCCTTCCCAGGATTCCCTGCAGCAGAAACAATGGAGGCCAGGACAGTCAAATGAAGTTTGTGATCTTCACCTCCGCCCTCAAAAGGGAAAGGTGAAACGCCGCCTCCGTCCCAACCCACGAAAGGGGGAAGAGGCACGCCCAGTTCAGCCCATGGCGAGGGAGAAAACGCTGCACACCGTGCATGACACAGCACAGCCACAAAGACGTTGATTCTTACATTGAATTCAATTTCGTAGTCTGTTGCAGTGATGGGCATGCGGCGCCAGGCAGACCATAAATGGTGGAAACAGCGGTATTAGGCACCACGGAGAACGTGAGAAATGCATCCGCAGACGGTTCTCAGTCGATTGGCTTATTGTCCGCGGCACGCCGACGAACAGAGACGCACAAAGATAACCACCCTTTTTAAGTCGTTTTGACTGTAAACAGCCCTTCATCGGTTGCCAGTCGGACGGGTAAGTTCAAAGGGTTCTACACGGGGAGATGGTTGCACAGCGAAATTCCAAGTAGGCTTGCGTGTCGTCGCTTATGGTTCACCTCTGGGAGTGCTGTCCCGCTACCGTCTCACGTCCGAGCGGTGCCATGTCAGGAAGGTCGATCACAAAAAATGCCGTTGCAGCGAAAAAATCGTTCTGTTCGCTCCATTCGCTTTGTTCGCAACCGTTGCTAATGGCGGTTTCATTTCACATGGACCGCGAACGGTCCGTGATTGTCGCTCTGCGACTGGAGCGGCTTCTTTCTGGCAGACACCGCAGAATTTTTCGAACGTAATGTAATGATTTGTGCTTTATTATATCATTACGTTTCTATAAATGGGAACGAAGGGCCCACGTGTTTCGACGTTTAAGAACACTTCTTAATGCAAATTAATGTTAAAACGCACAGCATCGGCCATTGACACTATTTCGACGGGTCCCGACCAAAAATTGCTCCCGCTGTTGTGACCAGAGCGAAATTCCCAACATGTTTGAAGCTTGCCGCGGACCGCTGCGACGTGAGCGAACTGGCCTTTTTTCCGCTGCGAGCGAATTGGCGCACTGAAAATCGCTACTTTTTGTGTCATGTGAAACGGCCTTAACGGCATCCTCTTCTACTATCTGCAGGCTCGCTACAGTGTCTAGAAGTATATTTCTAGACACTGTAGGCTCGCGGCCGCCGCTCCCATACTGCCCCCTATCCTTCGGCGAAAGTGGAAAGGTGGGCGTGAAGCATGACTGCGAAAACTGTGCGCCGCTACCGCCTGGTTTCCTTGCGTCGCTTGGCGCCGCCGCGCCATGCAGGCCGTGCGGCGCTGGCGCGCCACAATTGGCCTTTTTTTTCTTTTTTTATCATGACATCGCGGCCAATGCGCTAACCTGCTCTGGCCACACCAGTCGTCCCCGCTTTCACCAAAACGACAAAAGTCTGCGACTGTTTTCACATCCCAGTGTCCTCGGTGATCGGCAAGCGCACTGCTGATGCCAATTGCGAAGTACACAGTTTCAGCGTAAAATTTCATACCACAAAACCTAGAGGGGATCTGGTGCAGGTGTCTGCGCGAGTAGAAGTTGTTGTTGGGCTAGTTAGTAGATTATTGGAAAAAATTAATTTGAGCGCAAACACATCATGCATGCACAAACACAGCGCTGTGCGTGTTTGCTGCCTGGGTGTGTGCGCGCGAATGTGTCGTGTGTTTGCTCTCAAGTTAATTTTTTGAAATGTCTACGTGGGGCACACGAGGCTGACTGAACGGCGTTTCGACCACCATAGCTTGGAATTGAGGAACCCAGCCTCCAAAAAACACATGACGACAACAAGCCCCAGCGTGTGTGGTTGTCTTATTTGTCTTATTGTGTGTGCATTTTATGAACGCTGGATTCCTAGATTCCAAGCTATGTACCCAAAGGCTAGACACCAGACACCAATGGGATTGATGGAAAGTAGAAACTTTGCATCTGCTTCGGGTGGATTTACTTCTTGGCATTTGCGCCGCCCGTTCACCGAGAATAAAACAAAGTGACATGAACTTATCCTCAATAAAGACTTGCTTCATTCTTCCAAATGCAAAGCTGATTGCAGGAATTCTGCGTGACCTCGATATTGACCCAAAACTGTGACAAATTCAACCGAACTGGGGTATTATACACTGGTAGGAATTCTTCTCGATATTCGGCGCTAGCAAATAATGAAGAAATTTTTGGAAATGGCGAAAATAAGCGTGCGTTTGGAACTCGGAATATGCATAATCAATTTATAGAAATAAAAATACTGTATAGAACAGTTACTAATGAACACATTTTTTTATACTAATGGCAGGCATGTGTGCTCATGCGCAAAAAAATTGTGAAAGCAGTGGTTCGTATAGAGCGGATCTTTCGCTCCGCTGTAAAGACCATTAAGTGCGTAGGTGAAGAGATCTTTTTAACGCCGGAAGGTTCAGCGGATCATTGAGGGGCTTTGCTTTGCTTTGCTATCCTAGATACATGGCACGTACCCACTTTGGGGGATTGGCCAAGAATGCAGCGTAGACTGGTAAATGTAATTTTAGGTAAGCTATGAAATTTGAAACCAAACATAAAGATATAAAAGTGGCAAATATACGAAAAATATTCAATTTAACCACAAGTAATATGCTTTTGAGCCTGTATACCAGACTGCCGTAATAACCTGACGGGAATAATTTTGAAAACTAAGGTTTCAACCAAACTCAATGACGAATAATTTTAAATACCAGGTTAAAATGGCACTCGTTGAGTATTTATGATGAAATTACACACGGCATCAAAGGCATCCCTGTGGCAGTATCCCAAGCCTGAGGCACCGAAGCTTAAAATATTTTACTCCGACAAGGTCAAGCCTATTTTTGTAAAAGGAGTAATTGGAAATCGGGTTCTAATACAAGAATATCTTGCACATGTAAAAAAAAAAAGTGCGATATTTTTCAGTTTTCCGCAGAATTGGCAGAGGGGTAATATCGTCAGCCCAGCCCTGTACCCATAAAAGTTTAATGGGGGGACACGACATCGAAATCTGGTGATCATCACTTCCGATTGTCGAGAATGACTCCACTGCGATTTCTATATTTTAGGTGATTATATTCCGTCCACGTGGTTATTGCTTCCATCCTATCTGTGTAGATAGCTGATCTTCTAAATCTGACTGCGGTGAAGTATTCTACCACCGGGAGAACCTGATTTATTGGGAGATCTAGCGATGAGCGGGCTAAGGCGTCGGCCATTTCATTTAATGTTAACCCACAGTGACCTGGTACCCATACTAACTTTAGGTACTTCAGCTGAGACGGAACTAAAGATCGTAACGTCTAATGGCACGAGAGGTATGAGAAGTTGTAAGAGCTGTGCATACCGATAGCGAATCAGTAATTATTATTGCTCTGTTCTCGTTCCGCGGAAGTTTTCGCAGTGCCAAGATGACTGCCATTAGCTCCGCTTCAAAAACAGGAG